ACTTTTCCTTTCAGTTTCCTCCCCACATATCCCCTTATATCAGAGAAGTTACCCCTTTTAAAGTTAAAAGTGGTTGTGTCAGTCTTTTTGGCCAATTCCCTATTTATACAAATGTTGAACTCAACAACATTATGATCACTGTTCCCAAGTGGTGCAATCACTTTTATATCTCTCACCAGGTCTTGAGTGTTACTTAGAACCAAATCAAGGATCGCCTCTCCCCTGGTAGGTTCTGTGACCATCTGCTCCATAGCACAGTCATTTAGAGTGTCTAGAAACTCAATCTCTTTTTCCCGGCTAGAACACATATTGACCCAATCAATGTGTGGGTAGTTAAAATCACCTATTATTACACAGTGTTTTTGTCTAGTTGCTATCTTTAAGGCATTCATCATTTTATAATCCTCCTCTATCTTGTGATCTAGTGGGCAATAACAAACTCCCACTGTTAAGTTTCCTTTTGGCCCCCCTATTTCAACCCATAGAATTTCCAGAAGCGAATCCAATTCTCTTAGCCTCTCAATCTTTCTGGACTTTATACCCTCTCTGACATACAGAGCCACCCCACCTCCACCCCTTCCCCCCCATCCTTCCGATATAATATATAACCGGAATCACTGTATCCCACTGATTTTCCTCATCCCACCAAGTTTCTGAAATACCCACAATGTCTATTTTTCCTTCCAACACCAAGCACTCCAACTCCCCGATTTTACCTCGGACATTTCTAGCATTTGTATAGAAACAGCTATAATTTCCCATACAAGTTAAGCCTGCAACCTTCCTCTTGCTATCTCGAGACCTTGTCAGGCAGTCCATGTCACTAGCCATGGTCTCAGTGGACAATTTCAATCCATCTCCCTGTGCGTGCACATAAAAGCTCATACTTTGAATAAACCTTTGTTGGTCTTAAAGGTGCTACTGGACTCAAAATTTGTACTGATACCAAAACAGTTCTTGAAGAGTGCCCTGTGAGCTCCAACAGTGTAACTTAAGCTAAATATGACACTTATACAGTTATAGTTGCATCAAATTAGACAAAACACCCAGAGTCTCATTTGCAATAGTCTCTGGTTCAGTGTTTCTCAAACTGGAGCTTTAAGGATAATCCAAGAGTCTGTAAATCCTTAGTAAAGACAGACAGTAAGCCATTTTTGTGTAATCCAGCAAACATGAAAACCAAGCCCTTTTCATTTTCTAAGAGTGGGGACAGGTACTCTAAGGGGAAGTAACTAGTTTCTGCTTCTTCCAAAGGGCAGGAATTCATAAAGCTGCTGCCACCCACTGTCACCTAGCTTCCAGATTATCACAAAGCACAAGCCAGAGAATGTGATGATTTGTTGCTGGAAACCAGTACCTCAGCCCTAGGAGCTCTAAGTGGATGAGCAGCACCAAGGAAGTACCACCTTAAAGCAATCATCTCTGTTACTTCCATAGAAAATGGAACCGGTTTTCACTCTGTTTTCCAAAGTAAATGACTTTAACAAACAGAAGGAGGTGCCATTCTGTATCAGTAGACAACAGCAGCCAGTACTCATTTTCAATTGACGTGGGGAATTCAGGTTGTGTGGCACACTGGTCTTTATTCTATTAGCAGCTCTGCAAGCTTGTCCAGGACCCTTCCTATTTAACTGGCCTCTGTATCCAAGTTATTTACCAATATGGAAGTTTCTTGTGGTCTCCAGTGCAAAGTTATCTTCCAAAGGATTAGCAAAATTAGAACTCAGGTCAGGGCCTTCTGCATTGTGGCTCTATAGAATCAGCTACCCTTTGAGACCACATCTCGTAGGTCACACTGAGACAATATTTCAGTTAATACATCCTTTTTAAAAGAGCGGCTGGTGAGGGTCTCACTATATTGTTTTGAGGATACAAGAGAATGGGAGCTTCCATAGGACATCCATGGTTCACTACAAGTCTGGCACATGGTATACGCTGGTGAGGGAAGGTCTGGGGGGTCTGGTGAAAAACTAATCAAAATGGAGGAACTCACTTTTGCTGCGCTATGATTCTCTTTATGAAAATGGGAATTCTATAGGTGTCTCTAAAGCCTAATGCTGAATGCTAGTTTTTCCCAATGCATAAAGGCCACACATTAGCTTTACTAACTGGAAACATATCCTGGGAAGCCAACACATGTCAACATTCTCAAATTATGCTCTCTCAAGTTTGCGCTCTCACTAAGGTGTGTGTGTGGGAGGGGGGAGAAAGAGATCAATAAAAGGTATAACAGATGGTAAAAATGAGCATATGCAAGAAACGAACTGCATTCCAGTAAGGCCAAATAGGTATCCTTACTGAAGGCACACTCAACACCAAGCCAGCATTCAGTGGTTTATACTCGCCAGCAAAACATTTGGTTTGTAAAAGATATGTAAACATGGGTTTCTGGAAGCTGTCCTTTTCCCAGGAAAATTAACAATGTGCCTGGAGAAATCATTTCAACATTGAAGGATGAAGTAGCTGTATCAATCTATAAAGCCAAAATTAATGCTCTCAGAAGACCTCTTGCAGAAAGTAGAAAAAAGTCAAAAAGGATAGTTTCCCCGTGATTAAAATAGGGACTCAGTGCAAAAACTCATGTATATGTTTCAGTCTTTTGATGCCATGGGACAAGTGAAGTAATCATGATGTAACACAGGAGGGTGGCACCAACAGTTCAAGCACAATTAAATGAAAAAACAATCAAAAAGGGTATGCATATTCATTACAATTCACATGCCCGGATAGGTTTGCAGTCCGAATATAAATTACTTCCCTGAAGAACAATTTTTGTCAGAACAACAAATATCTATCAAGTAGCAAGATTTTGGTAATTTCTCATCCATGCAATTACACAGACACCCTTCTTTTAGGACATCACATCCCTACCCACTTATTTGCCCAGAAACATGCAGCTGAAACCCATGACTCAAGGCGGTTAATGATAAGCTTTAAAGCTGCTTGTGTTTTATACTACCACCATCCCTCCACTTTTCTCTGGCTTTTGAACACAAAGTCACCCAATTCAAGCTACTCTAACACACATGCTCTGGTTAGTATTCGGATGGGAGACCACCAAGGTTGTTATGCAGAGGCAAACAATAACAAGACACCTCTGAACATCTCTTGCCTTGAAAACCCCCATAGGGTCGCCATAAAACCATGACTTGACAGCAATAAATAAATAAATCGCTCTTTTCACAATACGGACTTCCATAAAATGACGAATGTGAGCAGGACTTTAGGGAGAGATAGGCAAAGGCCTTTGAGTGTTGAATAACCAGCCAGGTCACCACACACAGACGTTGCATTTTTCGACGCGTCTGACGAAATGGGCTCTCTAGACCACAAATGTGGTCCATGGGGTCGCGAAGAGTCGGACTCGACTGTGCGACCGAACAACAACAAAAAAAGGTCACAAAAGCCAATCACTTTTTTAAAAAAAGTACCACCAGACGTCGGCTTGTTTTCTATCCACCCGGTGAATATATTTTTTCCCAGAAACCGAAAGGGGAGAAGGAAGACTTGGCCACCACGTTCTTCCCTCTCAGCCCGAGGGACGAAGGCAAAAGATGCTCCGCCGGTTCCCCACTCCCCCACCCCCCGACAGGGAAAAGAAGGCAGCGGTGAATTCCAAGTTCCCCGGCCGCAGTTCTCCTCTCCCTCCCTCGCCTGGGCTCAACCCGCCCGAGCTCTGTTATCAGGATATCAAACCCCCCACCCCCCACCCGGTCGATGGCGGGGTAGGAAGAGGAAGAAAGAGACGCTGCTCGGGGCGCGGGAGAGACGAGAGGCAGCCGTTGCCCACCGGCCAGCACGGGACGGCCGCGAGAGCAACGGCGGAGCAGCGCGCGAACCCAGCTCTCCCCTCCTCCCGCAGCCCGCCTTTACCTTCCTGTGCGAGACGACGAGGCTCTTGTTGCCCTCGCCGTGGTAACGCCATTCATTCTCGTCCATCTTCTCTGCTTCCATCCCTGCCGGTCGGACGGCCGAACAAGCCAGTCACTCTCGCGTCTCCCTTTTCGGCCGGGCTGCTCCTCGCTTTGGCTTCTCCGCCTGCGCTCTACGGCAACCGCTTACTCCCCCACACCCCACCCCCGCCCACAAGACCCGTGAGCTCACGACGAATCAACCATCGGGTAGTTTTCCGACACACACCTTCCTTGCGCCCGGGTCACAGCAGGAAGTTCCACCTTCCGCCATGAGGCAAACCGGAGATTACCAACTCAAGAAAGGAATATATTGCGGAGGAAATAGGGAGGGACTTCCTCAACTGCCCATCTTTAGTATGGGCAGCGGCTTTCCCCACACACCCCAGCATTTTTTTTTTCCTCCGCCATCTTTATTGCTGGCATGGGGGGGGGGGAAATTCGCCATAGGTGGTGGAGGAAGTATCTTCTTGGACATGCGCGCGACGCTCGGAAACTGAGGGCGTTTATACAGAGCAAGGAAGGGCGATGGTGTGCTGAATTTTTTTACCGGAATAGTTTATACTGGAATAGCTCCCTTAATAATAGTCACATGCTGTTATTCCTATTTTAGGGTCTAGGCTAATCTATTTGTGAATAAGATCAGCGGCAGAAGGAGACACGCCTATTTTAGCTAACTTTTTAATTTAACAAAGTTAGAGTCCAGTGGCACCTTTAAGACCAAGAAGGTTTTATTCAAGGTGTGAGCTTTCGTGTGCACGCATGCTTCATCACTTCGTGCATGCACAGGAAAGCTCACACCTTGAATAAAACGTTGTTGGTCTTAAAGGTGGATGCGAATGGTCAAGATCAATTTAGAAAGAATAGGACTCTCTCCTGAGAATCTTTTGGCACAGAGCAGTGCCCAGGCAAAAAGTTGTTGTTGTTGTTCAGTCGCACAGTCAAGTCCGACTCTTCGCGACCCCATGGACCAGATCACACCAGACCTTCCTGTCTTCCGCAGTCCTCTGAAGTTGGCTCAATTTCATGTTCGTTGCATCTATGACACTGTCTAACCATCTCATCCTTTGCCGTCCCCATCTTCTTTGACCTTCAATCTTTCCCAGCATCAGGGGCTTCTCCAGTGAGTGCTCCCTTCTCATTTGGTGGCCAAAGTATTTGAGCTTCAGTTTCATTATCTGGCCTTCCAGGGAACAGTCAGGGTTGATTTCTTTTAGGATTGACTGATTTGATCTCCTTGCAGTCCAAGGGATGCTCAAGAGTCTTCTCCAGCACCATAGTTCAAAAGAAT